ACTATCATTAACAATTGGGGATCAGAACTTAGGGAACACCCTTTATTATAACAGGTGAAACTAACGTGAGTAATATTTTTGTATTGATTTTTATAGTTTTTCTCAGTGATATCTTTCATTTAAGAATGCCTATTGGAAATACAGAAATCAATCGTTGACCACGTTGTAATCAAGCTGTTTTCCATGCTGAAGCAATTCCAGAAGCTGGAAAACAATGGCATAAAACCAGTGGCGTACGCAGGATTTTTTGGTATGCTGGATCTCATCTTCAGAGCATGGGTCCCAGATAAAACTTATGGAGGATGATATTGGACCCAAATGATGAGTTTCTATGAAAAAATTTTTGTGTTTGGAATTTGCGAAAAAATTTTTTTTTTCGACCCCCCCCTAAAATTTTTTACGCTTTTAGTAGTATTCCATTTTTGAGAATGCTCTCGTAATCTACATCGAATTTCATCGATAGATTTCAAATTTCATCTAAAAATATGCATTCGTTCAGGAGTTATGACGTTTGGAATATTTTAGACCTGTCGGGAAAATTGCCGCAGAAATTCCAAATGTCATAACTCCTGAACGAATGCATATTTTTAGATGAAATTTGAAATCTATCGATGAAATTCGATGTAGATTACGAGAGCATTCTCAAAAATGGAATACTACTAAAAGCGTAAAAAATTTTAGGGGGGGGTCGAAAAAAAAAATTTTTTCGCAAATTCCGATCGCAAAACTTTTTTCATAGAAACTCATCATTTGGGTCCAATATCATCCTCCATAAGTTTTATCTGGGACCCATGCTCTGAAGATGAGATCCAGCATACCAAAAAATCCTGCGTACGCCACTGCATAAAACTTGTTACCATTGTGGTATGTGGCTTTTTTCTATTAACTATAATCTTTATTTTTCTTCTCTATAAAAAAAAAACTGAAAAGGTCTCTGCAAGAAAATGTTAAAAGCTGTGACAATGGCTGAACATGAAGGTAATGTTTATTGCAAACAATGTTATGCTCGTAAATTTGGTATTCGTGGTGTTGGATTTGGTGTGGGTGTGTGGGTGTGGGTG